GCAGGTTTGATACTACTGCTCCCTTTAAAATGTTACATTGAACGAGAGCATTTGTTTCCCTTCCTGTACCGTGCCAGCTAACTCTTATTAAATGAGGTTTAATCGCGTGCCTTCAGAAAAAATATAGTACTTAGGCTAATAAATTTAGTATATATTTACATGCAGGTTGTGTGCCCTACAATAATTGTCTACACGGAAATACTGTGCCTGCAACCATTTTTATAACACGTATTTATAAGATTAGTTTATTAACTTCATTGTTTGGAGGTGGGTACTTTAAATAATAATATCTATCAGAAATGATAATTAATTTGACCCTTATCTGCTGTTGCAGTATGTGTCTATAGTGAGCGCTTTTATTACCTTTTGAAGATAATATAATAGTTTATTATTTGGCAAGTGGATGAAAGTAGAATGAGTAGAAACCAAAATGAATGCCATGCATAAAACACATGGGCATATTAAAACAGGCGTTGTTAACAAATTGCCTGCTAGTTTAAAGAAAAATACAGCTTCAATCAGTTAATGTTTTAATAAATCACTTTTTTCATTCAACACATTTTGTTAATTGAAATTTTACTCATTTTGAAATATATAGTTGGCATGTCTTACCAAAGAAAAATATTCTTATTTACTAAACTGTTTTCCTTCATCTCATACTGCTAAATAAACATGAGTAATTGCCTAATCTATCCATTTAGATTGACAGTATAGGTTTTATTGCGATGGAAAATACTTCAACTTAATGTTTTTCTTTGTATGATATATAGGTTTTATTGCGATGGAAAATACTTCCAACTTAATGTTTTTCTTTGTATGATTATCCACAATGATTTGTGATAATTAGCAGAAACTCCTTAAGGCCTACAGAGCATCTAAGGTCTCTGTTTTAAGCTCAGCATAAAGCAACTGCTGTCATTGGTCGGGCTCAGAGTAAGCAACTCCTCTTTCTGCTACAAAGCCCCCATTAGTTTCCGTCTCTGGAGAGATCCACTTGGGGAGATTCCTAAAGAGAAGGGGGTGAGGAAAGTGACGAGAGAGGCCCTGATTATGAAACAGATGCTTGAACTTTACGTGATTGTCCCTGTACTGGTTCTCTTGAACCACCAAAACTATCATTCCCAAATGCGAGCCCCATCATTGCTTAGCGAAGGAAGAACAGCCCATGTTTTAAAAACAAAGCAATTTTTTTTTGGTAGTTAAAGTAATGCCTTCTCTAAAGTGTACTTTGAAAACCAGGTACTTCTTCAAACTCTAGCCCTCTTACCAAATGTGAATTTGCTCTATGAGAGGAACCCAAAGAAAAAGAAGTTCAGGTCATAAAAGCAGAGGTGGGCAAAGAAATGGTCCACGTCTTTAATATAATTGACGAGACTGTCCCTGGGCTGAAAGCTGATTTCTTAACCTGTCCTCTTTCCGCCTCTTGATCTCCTCAAACACCAGTCCTCAAAGACTCTCTCAGTTTGGGCCCCAGAGTAGAACACTGACCGTAGTTTAGTACCTTGTGGGGAACGTGGGAGGAGAGTTAGAGAAGCGTGAGGAATAATGGGCACCAGCCTCCCCTCACCTGGCCGCATATTTCTGTGAACATCCTGGAAAAAACTAAAAGAAGAGAAATTACCTAGGTTGTGGGAATCCTCAAGTTGATAATTACAAAGCAAGGGAGGTTTTTGTTTTGTTTGTTTTTCCTTTAAATCTGAAGTAGAATGATGGTTATTCCCCTCACAAAGAACTCTTACTGTGTCCTAGATGGTTTAGTCTTTGACCCTAAATTCCATAAATTTAAAGGAGACCTGAAATTTGGGTCTTGGGATTTTTTCAGTTCAATTCATTAATTCTTAAATATCAGACATGACCCAGTGATTTTCGATGCTTTGGGGTGCGTATTGGCCACTTAATCAACTTTGTGCAAATAAAGTGCCCTTTTAAATATCTTTTGAATTTAAGGTTTTGCTTAGGGATACATATGTTTTGCTGGCATACCACCTGTCTTCTGCAGCCATTTCTCCCTCACCAGTCCTAAAACTGAGACAATAGGGCATGAAGGTATGAGAGTCTCTCTTGGGTGTCATTCTTCTTCATGGCTAGAGAAGAGAAAAGTCTACCTTCTCCATCTTTCTTCTGAGGCTTTTGAGAAGTGAGGAGGAACAGTCCAGCCCTAAGGCCAGGTGAGACTTGACGCTGGCGATTCCGTCGAGTCCAGCACTGATGGAAAAGTCAAATGTCCTCTTGCTCCCATCGCCGTGCTTCTCATTGTTCTACCACCTTTATTGAAAGTAGCCAATTGGGCTCATTTCTGCTGCCCATATTCTTGTGACCTGGGTTACTAGAGCCTTCCCAAAGAAAACTTCAATGGCCTACTTCAGCTTAGGTACCAGATTCTTTCTTGAAACCCAAAAGGAGGTAGACATTTCAAGAGTCATTTAGTTGTGGCCCCTCCCAAAGCAGATGAATAGGAAGAGCTATTTAAATGAAAATAATTTTATTATGATGCATGTCACAATGGATTTCAGGTTATGCAGCCCTTGCAGTTAATAACAAGGTTCTGTGAGCCCTATAATCCTGATGCACAGACAAGATAATATGGGGATTAGCTGATGCAAATCAGAGGGAATCTCTTCATGAACAGAGGTGCCACTGGCCTCATTAGTTTACATTCTCTTCGGCCAAAGAAAAACAGGCTGTCCCATTCAAACATGTGGAGAGATTCCCAATCTTGGAAGACTATTTTACCCATGGAGAAGATGGCCTAGTTTGCTCTTTAGTGCAGTGTGGAAATATTGGGTTGTTGGAAAAGTCATGACACATGTTTGCAACAGATGGCACTAGTTCATTTTCGGAAGTACTAGAGTTATTCGCATCTATGTTATGTCATTTGACAGCTGACAGTTCTAGCTTCATTCTAAAAAAAAATTGAGCTACTTGGTTGAGTTTTGGAGATTTTACAAGTTGAAGATGGAACACCAAACTGTGCATTTTTGCCATATTTTACTGTTTTACTTCCATAATGGGAAGAACGCATGTCAAGCTTGTGAAAAGTTGCATAAAGTTTACGGTGACAATGCTCTATAAGAACGTCAGTGCCAACAATGATTCACGAAATTCCATGCTGGTGATTTTGATCTCAACGATGCTCCTTGGTCAGGGAGGCCCACCGAGGTTGATGATGACAAAGTAAAGGCATTGATCGAGTCAAATCCACATTATATGACACAAGAGATTGCAGAAACATTGAACATCCATCATTAAAGCATTCACAAACTCCCAAAGAAGCTGGGATACATAAGCAAGCTCGATATTTGGGTTCCGCATGAACTCAAAGAAGTTCATTTGATGGTGAGTATAAATATCTGCAATATATCTTTAAACGTGAGGAAAACAATCCTTTTTTGAAGTGACTGATAACTGGTGATGAGAAGTGGATCATTTACAACAATGTGGTGTGCAAACCTGGTCCCGACGTGATGATTCGCCTCAAACGAAATCAAAAGCAGACATTCATCAGAGGAAGGTTATGCTCTCAGTGTGGTGGGATTTTAAAGGTGTCATGTTTTTCGAGCTCCTTCCTACCAAGGAACCAAACAATGAATTCAAATGTGTACTGTCGGCAATTGGACAGTTTGAATGAATCCATCATCCTAAAACGTCGAGAGCTTGTTAATGGTAAAGGAGTTGTGTTCCATCGCGACAATGTGAGACCACACACAAGTTTGATCACCCGTCAAAAATTATTGGAGTGCCGGCCGAATGGCGCGATGGTTAAGAGCTGGCTTGGGACGCCAGAGGGCCCCAGTTTGGATCCCACATATGAGGGCCAGTGACACTACCCTCCACAGCTAAGATGCTGAACAATAGCTCAACCTGGAGCTGGGCTGCCGTGAGTCGCTGGCGACGGCTTGGGCTGCAGCCCCTGTGGCAGTGGGTTGCCATGGCTACCATATGTAGCCAGCAGCCAGCGTGAGTGGCCAGCATCCGCTGTGAGCGGCCATCCAGAAGCCAGCGACTGATCTGCCTCACCCGGGAAGAGCGCAATGATGGTGCCAACTTGGGCCAGTGAAGCAATGTCCTCCACAATTAGACTGAAGAACAAAAGGACAGCAACTTGTCTGTTCCCTTTCCCCCAATTCACCAGCGCTGTTCCCATCCCC